TCTCAATTTTACAATTTGAAACCATCTACCTCCAAGGATAATTCTCACCAAGTAAAAATAATTTCCTACAGAAAGTTGTCAAAATATACCCAAAAGTGTTATTTCCCTATATAAACTATAGTAAACTTTACCCCCTCCCCAAGGGAGAACGGATAGCTCGGGGGTCCTGAAATTTACAATTTAAGTATAGCCCCTGATGATCTTTCTTTCCATACAGAGAACATCACTGTAGTACCTCTGAGTCTTGAGTAAAAGACTTTTGAAATATTAGTAAATTTTTGGGGCCGCGCCCTGGCCCCAGGGGTTGGGGTAGGAATCCCAATTTTACAATTTTGTAGCCTCATCTACCAAGCTTAGGATGATTCTGACCAAGTTTGAAAAAAATCCATTGACTGGTTCTTGAGAAGAAGTTAAAAATGTAAAAAGTTTACGCACAACGCCAACGGACGACAGATGCCGACGGACGACAGACGCCGACGGACGGAAAGCGATTAGAATAGGTCACTTGAGCAAAGCTCAGGTGACCTAAAAAATGTGAAATAATAAAGTAATATGATGTAATATATAGTGAAACTTCCATAACTTGAGTCAATGTCCAAGATGTTTCTTTTTTTTTTCTAAATGGTCCCGCAAAGTTCTGTAGTAAAATGTACCCCCTCCCCAGGCAGACATGAGTGACCCAGGATAATAAAACCACATTTTGATAAAGCACCTTAAGACATTTCCATCTATGAAAATAATTTGATTCTAGAATATCTGGGTCTGAAGAAGAAGATTGTTCAAATTTTAGCCAATTTGACCCTATAGGGCCCCGTATTGTAGGCCCCTTGGGGTGAGACAGGGTCTTCATTTTCATAACATCTACATCACACTGCCATCACATGATTATAATTCCAACCGAATTTAAATTATTTCCAACGAAAATAAATGAAATATACACAAAAGATATATAACTAGAGTTATTTCCCTATATAAACTGTATCAACTTTCCCCCGTCCCCAGCGAATGGGTGACCTGGGGGTAATGGGTGACCTGGGGGTAATGGAATTCAGTTTTGATATTTACCTCACACAGGGGATGATCAACATCGGACTGGCCAGACATGATGTCAAACAGGATACTGTTTACCTATAAAAGTCAAAGGTTTTCTTACTTATTCAAACAATCTGGAATAAATATACAGTGGATGCTCTTCATTATAATATTCCGATACTTTGTCACTTTTTGCTATACTAGTTACAAGGTACAGTGATGTCCTGACCCATTTAAACACTGTTTTTACAAGAGTTTCTAACATTGACATGTGACTTGAGTGTCTGTACAACTTGACTTATCTCACCTTGAACTTGTGAAAGTCAGTTATATTGATCCTGTAGTTAACCCTCACCTTGACCCTTTGACTGAGACTTACCTTGACCCTGTAATAATGATTCACCTTGACCCTGTGACTGAAACTCACCTTGACCCTGTGTCTGAGACTATCATCGACCCAGTGACTGAGACTCACCTTGAGCCTGTAACTAAGACTCACCTTGACCCTGTATCTAAGACTCACATTGACCCTGTAATTAAGACTCACCTTGACCCTGTGAGTGAGACTCACCTTGCCTCTGTAATTAAGACTCACCTTGACCCTGTGAGTGAGACTCCCCTTGACTCTGTAATTAAGACTCACCTTGACCCTGTGAGTGAGACTCACCTTGACCCTGTGACTGAGACTCACTTTGACCCTGTAATTAAGAAACTCACCTTGATCCTGTGAGTGAGACTCACCTTGACCCTGTGAGTGAGACTCACCTTGACCCTGTGACTGAGACTCACCTTGACCCTGTGACTAAGACTCACCTTGACCCTGTGACTGAGGTTGTCTGTATATCCGGACCCTGTCTCTCCCAGCAAAAGGAAGTCATGTCCTGCTTCCTCCTCATACAGAATACTAAAAACAAGAACCTACTTTTTAATAACAAAGTTATCAATATAGTAGTATCACTAATACAGGTCTATGACAGCTGTATCACGTGAGAGAAATCAGTCATGGTGTTTTACACCTTAGGGTGATGACTTACAGTGATATCTATTGTTTGTTTGGTTTTGCTACACGCTAAAGGGACCATTAACATATATGGTCATGTCGAGTACAGTTTAAAATCAAAATGGTATTGACGTTGAAATTTGGCCGACTGGATTTTTCGGCAATAAACTGGTTAACAAATCTTCACAAACATGTTTGTATATATTCAGAGATTATCTTTCATGGCAAAATATTTGCTGTTTATTTCATTGTAGGTAATATTTTATGACTGGGAGTAAAGCAAAATGAAAACCCCACAAATATTACCGACTGTACAGTACCTTGGAGGAATAACGCGTTGTACCACCACATTATCTTCAAATTGCTTCTCTGGACTCTGCAATAAAATCAAATGATCACAGTATTGTTTTTAAGCAGCGAATTATTGTTATCCTACAGATGAAAACATCTAAACATAATAAATATTTGTGTAAATTAGCATACTTGCCAACCTTTGGAAATTTCCATGGGGGAAATTACCTGTGTTCAAAATTCAAATTAAAACAACAAGCAAATTCGTGGAATGTATATCCCCGGCTTTCAGGACATATTGTATGTAAACATTATTGAGGTTAGGTTTAACATGTGAGTATCGTGCTGTTGAGACATAATGTATAGCTTGAAACTCGAAGAAAAAAAGCCTTATCTAATATTTGCTAGAGTTATTAAGCGGAAACTGCCAAATGGAGTCCAATTAAAGTGGTTGTCAAACTTGGCCGAGCCCTTAATGCATTGAACCCTGTTATTAAGTTTGAAGACAATTGAATACTATTTGCGAGAGCTAATGAACAGAAACAGAAGATAATGACGTTTTTCGTTATTCAAGGGGCCATAACTCCGCCAAATTGGATCAGCTGAAAGTGGTCATTGAACTTGGCTGAGCCCTTAGGGCATTTAACCCTGTGACCAAGTGTGAAGAAAATCAGTTATCAGATCATTTGTTGTAGTTATTGCAAGGAAACGAAGCGAGACAGATAGACAAACCCAAATGAATATCCCCCGTTTCGGTGAAAGCGGGGGATAAAAATAAAATGTTATATATACCAGTATCCCCTAGGGAAAAAACAACACTTCACATATATTTTCAGTTGTTCTTTCAGATGAAATCAGTTGACATCTTAGAATTTAGGAAAAGTTTAGCAAATTCACTGGTAACAAAATATTTAATTTCAGGGTCTAAAATCTGTAGTCTCCGGATCCCTAGGCCTCCAAAAGATGGAGAGTTATATGTTATCATATGATCAGGCTTACTTTATAATTAATTTGGCCACTGTATCAGGCTTATAATTCAGGATAATTTTATTTTCGTTGTTCTTTACGTATACTAAGTCTTTACAGAATCCATGATTTCTGGAATTTTTCTAAGTAATCCCATAATATACTTAGATTTCAAAAGTATCATGCATATATTTAGACTTCAAACAAATACTAATTACTTAGGATTTCATACAGTACATGTAGGTTAAATAGCCTCACAAAACTAATAAAAAAATAAACATGTGATTAAATTACATTAAATTACACATGACCATATGACAGTATTACTTCATTCGTAAAACTGATTGTGACTGGTACACATTGACACTGACTAATACACATTGACAGTGACTGATACACATTGACAGTGACTGATACACATTGACATTGACTGATACACATTGACAGAGACTGATACACATTGACAGTGACTGATACACATTGACAGTGACTGATACACATTGACAGTGACTGGTACACATTGATAGTGACTGGTACACATTGACAGTGACAGATACACATTGACAGTGACTGATACACATTGACAGTGACTGGTACACATTGATAGTGACTGGTACACATTGACAGTGACCGATACACATTGACAGTGACTGATACACATTGACATTGACTGATACACATTGACAGAGACTGATACACATTGACAGTGACTGATACACATTGTCAGTGAATGGTACACATTGACAGTGACAGATACACATTGACAGGGACTGATACACATTGACAGTGACACACTGATACACATTGACAGTGACTGGTACACATTGACAGTGACTGATACACATTGACAGTGACTGATACACATTGACAGTGAATGGTACACATTGACAGTGACAGATACACATTGACAGTGACTGGTACACATTGACAGTGACTGGTACACCTTGACAGTGACTGGTACACATTGACAGTGAATGGTACACATTGACAGTGACAGATACACATTGACAGTGACTGGTACACATAGACAGTGACTGGTACACATTGACAGTGACTGGTGCACCTTGACAGTGAATGGTACACATTGACAGTGACTGATACACATTGACAGTGAATGGTACACATTGACAGTGACTGATACACATTGACAGTGACTGGTACACATTGACAGTGACTGGTGCACCTTGACAGTGACTGGTACACATTGACAGTGACTGGTACACATTGACAGTGACTGATACATATTGACAGTGACTGATACACCTTGACAGTGACTGATACACATAGACAGTGACTGATACACATTGACAGGGACTGATACACATTGACAGGGACTGATACACATTGACAGTGACTGATACACATTGACAGTGACTGATACACATTGACAGTGACTGGTACACATTGACAGTGACTGGTACATATTGACAGTGACTGATACATATTGACAGTGACTGTTACACATTGACAGTGACTGATACACATTGACAGTGACTGATACACATTAACAGTGACTGGTACACATTGACAGTGACTGTTACTCATTGATAGTGACTGATACACATTGACAGTGACTGATATACATTGACAGTGACTGGTACACATTGACAGTGACTGATACACATTTACAGTGACTGATACACATTGACAGTGACTGGTACACATTGACAGTGACTGATACACATTGACATTGACTGGTACACATTGACAGTGACTGATAAACAATGACAGTGACTGGTGCACATTAACAGTAACTGATATACATTGCTAGTGACTGATACACATTGACAGTGACTGATACACATTGACAGTGACTGATACACATTGACAGTGACTGGTACACATTGACAGTGAATGATACACATTTTCAGTGACTGATACACATTGACAGTGACTGATACACATTGACACTGACTGATACACATTGACAGTGACTGATACACATTGACAGTGACTGATACACATTGACACTGACTGTTACACATTGACAGTGACTGATACACATTGACATTGACTGGTACACATTGACAGTGACTGATACACATTGACAGTGACTGGTACACATTGACAGTGACTGGTACACATTGACAGTGACTGATACAGTGACTGGTATAGGAAGTAATGTAAGTGGAGAACTGTACCTGGCTTCCAGGTTTAAATATATTTATGGTTTCTTCTTGTTCAGCATTTCTTGTAAGCGGAGCTGAAGTAAGAAAACACAAATTTAGGTAACATTAAGATGATAATAAATGAAGCAGAAAGTATATATATTGTTAACATGAATTTTGGCTTAGGCAATTTATTGGCAAAAAATTAAATCAAACATTATATCAACTTGCACATCTGTTTTTCAATGACAATACTGCCTGTTACCTCTGTAGTAGGATGAGGAATAGTGATAAAGATAGTGCTGTAAAGCTAGGGCTCAAACCTGCTACCCTTTTGGCTCTTCAGCCTGATGCTCTACACTGAGCTAAAGGGTAATTCCCTGCAGCTGACGCTTGTAAGGCAACCTTATCAATGCACATCTTTTACACTATATTCCCCCTTTTTTTCAAACACCAACCCAGGTTCTTTGACTCCCCACCAAGGTTTCTCCTACGCTGAACAGGAAGGGTCAACGGCACCAGTTTGTAGTAAGACAAGGAATAGTGATAAAGATACTGGTAATGTCGTCGCTGGGGCTCGAACCCGCTACCCTTGGCTCTCCAGTCCGATGCTCTACCGCTGACCTAAAGGGAAATTCCCTACATCTGGCGCTTGTAGCAACCTAATTAATGCACATCTTTTACACACTTGTATGTAAGATTTTAAGTAACCTTAGCTATATATAGTTTAATACTCCAGTTATGTGTACATAAACAGAACTCAGATAAAACGAAACATAGACTAATACAATCCAATATGATTTTTATTTACAGGAACATGTTGTTAGAAACTGAATTACCACAGTCCACACCATTAATACTGCGACACACGTGTGACCTAGCTGACACCACACACAAATGACATTCTAATGCTAGTTTGATATTTACATTTATGAAAAATTATAAATATACCTCTACCTGTATATGCTTCTTGTAGTCAACAATACCATGACCTACTGATTTACGTGACTTTGCTTTATTTTTAAATAAAAATGAGATCTTTGAAATAAACAGTTTAATACAGCTTTATTTATTAAATTACTGGTGTGGATAAATATCTATGTAGCTTAATCGGCAGAGTGAACAGAATCTGTAAAAGACTGCACTGTGAGAAGGGCCAGTACTGAGGAAAAGTTATAAAAATATAACAAATATATTCAGAAATGGGTTGATTTCTGATAATTATTAATTATAATTAGTAATTATAATGATATAGCTACAGTTGTAATGTAGATAAACCTCAGGTGGAACCCGACAGAAATAGCCAGAGGACCCATATCAGTGGAATGTGTGTATTGAAGACATCTGTAGATCTATCAAATTCCACCACATACAGTAGGCCTACACAGCAGACATGGTTCGATTTGTTCATCCGCCTGATCCTACCTGTCAGTTCAGCAAGTAACTGTCTGTTGATGGTATTGAAGGAATGGTCAAGTTTTAGTGGCTGTCGACATCGTTGGCATACGAAACTGACATACTCGGACCCACTACCTTGTTCGCTGTTATTTGCCATAATATTTTGATTTAAAACTAGTTTGTTTACATTGGTCCTCCCCGGAAGTTCATCGCCATATGTCCACTATAAAATAGAAACCCGAGCAGTAAAAGAACTCCGGAAAAAAAGGTTATTATGTAAGTAAGAAATCTATTCATTGAGATAGAAACGAATATTTGTTTACTTAAGTTATATGGTATTTTAGTATAAATTTCATTTCAGTCTTTTTTATTGCAATATGGAGACACAGGTACATCAATGCCTCCTGACGGAAAGGGAGATAATTAAACGTAACAAGGATGTGAGTCATTGGCGGATATTGGAAACCGTCGCGTCTTATCCCGATTTGCAAATTAGACACGATCCCAGGTATACAGGTGTGAAATGTGATTTCCTGGTTTGAAATTCTGGAAAACAACTTGAATGAATTCCCTGTTTGTGATCCTCCTACTCCAAGGTCTTCCAGCGATATGTAAGTATATAGAATATATAAATATTAAACATAACTTTAACAGGTAACGGTTTGAAATTCTCAGGTAAACAGATACAGGTGTGTCCAATGGCGCTGATAAATAATTTGACTCATAACATCTATGGCGGTTTAGCGTATTTATTAACAATATATTCATCTAATTCAGTATGATTATATGTGATATAACAACAAATTCCTTGTGGATTTTAGTTGCCAATGTTATGCGAAATATCGGTATCCAGAGTTTACTCCGGTGGACATCGTTATGCATATTTATATATCTGTAGTGTATACATGTATGTATGTAGGGGGGGGGGGGGGGGGGGGNTATAAATATTATTTAGGTTATGTCAATATGAACCAGTAACATTTTCTCAATCATTGCAAAATAAGCAAATGACAGGGCTTGAAGTTTTAAATCACAGAATCAGACGAATTCAAAATTAAAAAAAGTTTTCAATTAAGAGTGCAGCGCTTCAAATAGTGATCAGTAAAATATGTATGTCACTTATAAATACAACAGGCAGTAAAATACTTACGTTTAAAAAAAAATCAATATGAACAAGTCTGGTAGACTTCTAATGACACAGGTGTTAATTCTTGTTCATGGTATCGTAACACCCATACAGTGTGTATATATGTTCTTAATTTGTTTATTACATTAGTGTCAGCCCACTGCTTAATCAACAAATCAGTATGATAACTGATGTACGACACAAAAACTCAAAAGAATCACCTTTCTTTATGTAACTAATAACATATCTTGTGGGTACTGTTAACATAACCTTAAAAGGCATAGAAAAACCTTGGTTCAACTTTAATTTTGAATACAGAAATAAGGGTACGGTGTCACTTTAAAATTATTATTTTCAAAGGGGAAATGATAACCAAAATATCCGAGGCCTGTATACAGTTTTGAAGTTTACTTTAGGAAACCAGATATTAGCATTTTTCTTAAGAAGATAAATAAAATAAATAAATATAATTATAATACATATATATTGATGATTTATTTAACTCAGTTTTATATAATGTATAATATTGGCACATGAAAGTAGAAAAAAATATCCAAATTAAAATTGAATTATTTTCCTACCTTGTTTTTTCTGGCATATGCATGCTACCTGAAATACACTTGGCGTGGTACAATTAGTTGTTGCCTGAAATCCTTAGTTCCAAACAAAGAAACAAGGGGGATAACTCCTTATAATCATATGGGATGTTTGCATTTGTCTGTCAATGCAATCCGTCTTTATTCGATGTCCAGATGTTTACTTTATTTACCAAGAATAATTACACAATTAGAATTCAAACTGGATAGTTGAATTTGCCTGAGTGAAGTTAGCTGGAATACCCATATTTCCTTTGGGTAGATTAAGGTCAGCTGTTACTAAATATAGAAGGAGAAGTTTCGAGCCTGAATCCCAACTTTTGCACAAATCCGACAGACTTGGTTCGTGAGTTGCCCTATATATAGGAATCGGGAAGAATAAAGATGTATTTTAGGCATGATTTGTCACAGGTCAAGGTCACTGCTCCTAAAATTTAGAATTTTCTTGTCTGGTTACATACTTAAAAACAACAGATCATTTTAGCTGGGTAGCATGTGCTGTCCCTGGTGGGTTTTTTTCGTTCTTTTCCTTTAAATAGCATACTTGGCAAATTAAATTGTCTCAGTTGTAGCTTTATATATATATGTTGTTGAGATTTGCTTGACTCGGAGGAACAAGGTTATGCGAGTACATCCCCTGACTGAGACCAACCATTAGATACATTAATATTTGATACTTAAATAGTTACTGCTGTCTGCTTGAATGATATTCAACTACTATTTCTAAGTTATTCCATCTGTATCTGATCATAATTAAGTGTCCTTGTAACCAAATTCTGTTCTAATTTGCTTGTAATGTACGTGTCTTACTGTAGGCTGGGGCCTGGAGTGTTATGTATGTACAGCGCAGGCCAACAACGTGGACAAATGTGTGAAAACCACCATACAGTGTAGGGAGTCGCAGGATGCCTGTCGCACACAGATCATGTGGAAACGTGAGTTAATTTTGTTGAACAGATATGTGGAAATTTGAGTTAATTTGTCAAACAGATCATGTGAAAATTTGAGTAAATTTGTCACAAAGATCATGTGGAAACACAAGTTAATTTTGACACGCAAGTCATGTGTTAATTAATCCGAGTTAATTTTGACATGATTTTAAAATCCATGGCTGATGACACAATACATAGAAAAAAATCAGCCTTTTTAAATGTTGTATAAAATATATGAGAAATAGATTTACCATTAATGAAAGCATAAATGGATGAATCAGTGCTGTATTTACTGTTTTTTCAGAACCTGAGTTTTGGCAGCCCCGAAGTGAAAGATACCATTATGTGTCCAAGTCATGTGACAGAAAAGACCGATGTGAGGCAGAGAGTGCCAGTAAGGGGCTCAAGTGTATGCGTGATTGGTACCGGGACTGGCACTGTATAGAATGTTGTCAGGGAGACAGATGTAACTACTACACAACGGTAAGTGTTGTCAAGGTAACAACTACTACACAACAGTAAGTGTTGTCAAGGTAACAACTACTACACAGCAGTAAGTGTTGTCAAGGTAACACCTACTACACAGTAGTAAGTGTTGTCAAGGTAACAATCACTACACAGCAGTAAGTGTTGTCAAGGTAACAACTACTACACAATGGTTAGTGTCGTCAAGGTGACAACTACTACACAACAGTAAGTGTTGTCATGGTAACCACTACTACACAACAGTATTACAGTAAGTGTTAACAGGGTTACAACTACAACACAACAGTTATTGTTGTTAGGGTGAAAATTATACTACACAACAGTAAGTGTTTTCAGGGTGACTACTACACAACATGAAGTGTTGTAAGACACTAACAACTATACAAAAAAACATTAAGTGTTGTCAAGGTAACAACAACAACACAACAGTTAGTGTTAATTGTTAGGGTGACAACTATTAAACAACAGTAAGTGTTGCCAGGATAACAATTACTAAACAACTGTAAATGTTGTCTTGGTAACAACTAGAACACAAGTGTTTATGTTGTCAGGGTGACAATTATACAAAAAAAAACCTGCAAAAAAACAATAAGTGTTTTCAGGGTAACAACAACAGCACAACAGTAAGTGTTAATTGTAAGGGTGACAACTATACTTCACAATAGTATATGTTGTCAGGTGACAACTACTGCACAACAGACAACCAGAACACAATTGTTTATGTTGTCAGTGTGACAATTACAACTCAACATTAAGTGTTGTCAGGGCAACAACTACAACACAACAGTAAGTGTTGTCTGGGTAACAACTATATTACAATTGTATATGTTGTCAGAGTGACATCTACAACTCAACAGTAAGTGTTGTAAGAGAGACATATGTAATTACTGCAGAAGTGTTGTCAGGGTAACGTTAACTCTGAAATATATTTGCTTTATTTACCACTTTAGTCATTTCAGCCCATTATATTCTCTTGAACCAAGATTAATATTTTGTAGCTATATATACATATATGCTGGTATTGGTACCTAATTAAAGCAAGCTGATTTTTACATTTACAGCTGGGAGCTGGAACAACACAAATCAGTATGACATTGCTGGCGGTGGTTTTAGCAGTGCACTTTTTCTTCCGGCTAAGATGAAGGAGAGAAAACGAAAAGAAATGTCCAACATTTCTCAACTCACAGTTGATAGAATAACTTTTCTAATTCACAACACCAAATTTAAAATCTAAATTAAAATTTAACGTTGAAAATATTAAAATGTATGGTAATCTTTAAAAAAATCATGATAACAGTGTTCCCTGCACAAGGTACTTCCTCTTGGTGACCCAAATCTGTCACCAGAGGGCACACAATATAACATTGCTTACAACATCATAAGCTTACACTGTTTTAACATGATAATAAACATATCTTTTGTGACACAAATTAAAGAAATATGAAATTGTTTCAAGTTAAATGATGTTTAAAGATTTGTAAATAATAAAAGTTTACTTTCATGGTCTATTTTTAATTGAAAAATGGAATTTAAAAACAGAGCATTGTCTGCATATATTTTTTGTTCCTTGATAGTGTTAGTCTTGTGAACTGCCCAAATGATGCAACTACTTAAAACAAAGATTACTAGTACCACCTTGTGGTGAACCCCATTTACTCGGGATATTAAAAGAACCTCTTTGTGAGTCTAACAAATTTACATAAAAAATAAACAGTGCCACCTTGTGGTGAGCCTTATTTAAACGGTCCTTAAGTGTCTTGTGTAGCAATCCCTTTTTGTATATATCCATTTTTGTATAAAAATTGTATTGCACTCAATTTTCATCTGAATATTCATCTTGTATATAATTCATTTTTTAGAAATTAACATTCCAAGAAATATTTTTTTGTACAATTTTTATAATCCTTATAATTAACACTGTATAATCATTGTCTTAACTTGAATTTTAATTCACAAGCTAAGTTGGAATTCATTATAATTTACCTGATACAACAGCCATGCATGACAAACTTGATCATTTTGGTGAAGGATTTTGTTGACATGTACAAAGTTACTTGTCACATCTAGTAAGGATCTCCGTACCACTGCCACAAACTTAATAATTAAGTGTCGGAAACTGTTTTTTCAGGCATGACTATTGTTTTGATAAATCATTTTGGAAAAGAAAATCACATCTTGCAGGACTATGAGAAATAAAGATGGTATAAACAAAATATAATCAACAACAATGTTCAGAGTGGGAAAAAAATCTGAAGGGCCAGACCAGGTTTGTAACACTAGACTTCAGATTGTTGTACTATCGCTTTAATGGAACTTCTTGGTCAACGGATGTCTCCTGGCCCAACTTTGCTTCTGCATCCGAACAGAGGGTTAAAGGGAGGCTACTGTTATACGAAAAACTACAGTGCAGTGGGACAGGGATCCTTAATTAAGATCTAAAACAAAAAGATAAGTAATGTTTGTAAATAAATTTTGATGATAAATGTACCTGGTAATTAATGAATTTGACTGGCCCATAATATCATTGTAAAGTTTCCCCGTTAACTCATTCACCCCTGAAATTTCATAATGAACTATTCCAACCTCTAAATTGGAAGGGTTCAAATGTGTCTTCAGGGGTGAATGGGTTAATAGGACAACTTTCCAACACCATCACGAGTCATATATATTAACAGTCTACTATTCACTGACCTTCACTCAGTGACTATTGCTCTAGCAAACAGGAATTATCATCTCAGTACTACACTATAGAATGTGACAAGTTTCCATAACAATATATTTGGCAGATCTATGCAAAATTTCCTCCTACGAGACACAAATTAATTGTGTGACATCATCAACAGTAGATTTGGGCAGAGTGAACCATGGCTTCTGCAAATCTAAGGCTGTTACTGTTTTAGGAAATGAAAATTGCAGCTACAGATCAGACTATTGAGAAACATAGTGGTGAAGCATTTACAGAAAATTACTGTAAACCTAGTTATCTCTTTTGGCCAGGTTGCAGGAGTTATCAACTCATAACCTGACAAAAAAATAGAAAACTATTCCTTAAATATATATTTGTACCTGTCAGTATCATTATCACCAATACTAATGGAATCTCTCTGTCACCTTATATGTTTACACAGAAATTATCAATAAAGGTTGACCCAGACACATTATTTTGTATATTTCCTGTAAATATCATCTCTCATTATCAAGAAATGGATTTTAATGAATATGCAATAAATGATTTTTATAAGATAAATTGTTTTGTCTTTTGTTTTATACCTGTTTAAATAGTATGTTATTTTTTGTCTCCCATCGTTTTCCGGGATGGGGGCTATAGGTTTGCACTCTCTCCGTCTGTCTGAGAAGTTTGTCCGGAACATATCTTCTATACCATTTCACCTGGAGTGACTAGATTTCGTGTACAAGGACATCTTGCAATTTGGATATTGGCAGAGTACAGAATGCAAGAAGAAGGTCACTATGACGTCAATGTGACCTATGCTTTAAGTTTAACTTTAAAAAAGATTTTGTATAAACAGAGAGCGACAAGCTGCCACTGCCCCCACCCCCTAGGAGCAGTTGGGCAGGACCCAATAGGGGGAATGCAGGGATATTTTCATGTTTAAAATCCTTCTGTACAAATTAAGAGATTTAACCAAATTTGGTGTAGAGCATCCTTAAACATTTATGTGGAATCTATTTTGTATAAGTGGAGGATATATGTGTCCCCCTGAGAGCAGAGGGACAGGGCTCAATAGGGAAACTAAGTTAAATGTTTAAAATTCAGTCCACTTCATGGGGGCAGAAAAAGTGATCTTATGAGGAAGGGGTGTTACTGAGAGACCACCAATATTGTGAAATAGTTGCAGGATTATATTTAATGAGAATAGTTTCCCATGGTTTCTTATTATCAAGGTAAGCAATGCAGCCCCTCTGGGCCTCATATACGAAACTTACTGGTCATTTTCCACCAACATCACATAAGAGCCAATTAGCTGATGAGCTTGGGCCATACACACGAGTCGCATGAGAAAGTTCAGCATTGGTTGTAAAGTCACTTGGGAGAAAGGTAGATATTTTTTACAGGTTTCATAACCTGTAAAGGGTTAGTTATGAAGATATTTAAGCAGTTATATAATTTCAGAAAAGCAATGGTATCAAATAAAGGATATTTAATGGTTTTCTGTTAAATACCGTATTTATATATATCACACGTATGGCAGAAAATCAATATTTACTACCATTTGAGTGAACTATGTAACAATGTTATTCAATGAGAAAACCATTTTTTTTTCTCCATAGATACTGCTGCTTAAAAAGTGTCGGAATTAATAATGTGATATTTGACACCTGGTTCTAAGTACGTCACACTTGACAACAAGACTGTGTACTGTTTTTAACAGACTATTATAATATAGCTACTGTTTTCTGTCCGTGTCTGGTAGGTTTGCTTAACAATAAATATAAATAATAAACGTTTATATAGCGGCCTATATAATTTGTAAGATAAATAATTACTATAAGGCGCTTAACAAGACATGAATGATAGTATTACTATAGTGGCAGATGTAAATATATTAGATAAAAAAGGGCATACAATACACCAACATTTTGTTCTGTGACTTGTATTGTACAGGTAAACAGTGCAATGAATAACACAGCTGTGATGTGCTCTCTTTCGAGTACGAGTAACCATACATGCTTAAGTGTTCTGGACCTTCTGCATACCACAGAGCAGGTCATTTCAAACCGAGAGGAAACATCTGCAGTTATTAACTACCGGATACAGCCGATATTCCTGATCTGGTAGTAACAGGATTTGGCATAGTTTGCTGACACTTTGGGGAAAATATGATAATTCCGTCTTTTGCCGATTAAGCTATAGCATTTTGGCGTTCATCCAGATCCTCATGTCTGCATGTCAGACAAGCTTCAAGATTGTCTGATATTGTATCCAACTGTCCTGTGGTTTGATGACTGTGAACATTTGTATGTCGTCAGAATAACAATAAATGCTCACAAATGTTGTTAATTATTTACGTATGTCAATAACCTTGTGTATATACCAAAACTGAACGAAAACTGCCATTTTTTCTACCCTATCCAACTTCAATGTCCTGTTTTTATGTCCACCACTGTTTACATCAATTATAACAGCTAAATACTGTTAACTTGCTAAAGCTAGTGAAAGCTATGACATCTACTTGTGAAGTGTTGTAACATTGAGCCAACTTCTTGTTAATTCTGATGCAGTCTTTTACTCAGGTGACTGTAATGGCCTTTTAGGCCTCTTGTTGATTTTTTAATGTAAAGATAAGGTATGTTATTATATATATATTTTCTAAAAAAAGAAACACAATTTCTAAAATTATTTAAAGTATTTTGTTTAACCTATACATAGCTGTATAAAAAAAGGAATAGTAATGCTCCTTGTCTTAGCCCAACGAATGCTCTAAATAGGTCATGTGTGACGAGAGACCTATCCTCATCCTGGGCAACTGAAGCATGAATGCATCATTTTTTATAGGAACCAGTATCGATTTATGACCATAAATCATGATGGGTTATCTCAAATACAATCACAGTTAAGACTTGCTATTACAAATATACCAAGGGTATCCGAGTTGGTAGTGGACATGCTCTTGCAATGTTTACGGGTGGTAGCACAAAATCAAACGTGTGATCGCTGTTCAAGTTTCACATCTCAATGTCAGGTGTAGAGTTGATGCCTGGCCGAGGACAGGACATTAATGGGCCTTTCATTTCCAGTTTTCATTTTAATCGCCAATGAAAGAAAAATCTTCAAGCTTCCATATGAATTAATAGACAGTGAATTGCACCATTTCTTCAGAAATTTGGAATGCCACTGTAGCCTATTGCAAAAAATGTTATGGCTATGGGCCATGGGTCAATTGTTGTGATTATTGAAGCATGGGTTCTGGCATATATTAAGTCAGAAAAAAAGCACTTGACTAACAACTAGGTGAAAGATAACACAACAAAAAGGATGCATTGTATTGTTATCATGATCTGCCTATTCGTTTAATGTTTTCCTTAGTGTTAAAAATAGTCTTCACAGCTGCTACTACATATAAACATAGTTTTATTGGATACTACTTTTTCTGAACTTTCTTATATGTTTTCTTATATCTTGCAGTTTTACAAAACTTTTCTTTTTTCATCTGAAACAAATCAATGAGATCTGCTCTATTGTCAGAAAATATGCGTCTGAACAGCTTGTAAACTAGTATGGCAAAGGCACTTCTAGTGGACCCATTTGCAGCATCTGAAACACCAATGTCGTCGGCAAAGCTTAGTCATACTGTAAAATGGAATGTCAAAGATTGTCTTGTGTGGCAATGACTCAGTATGTATCCGCTTAAGACTTGAGCACTTTCTGTAGCAGTTCTGAGCATGACACTGAAGCATCACAGCACGGTTAGAGTCTCGGAGGATGGCTTCAGCATTCTTATGAAATAAAACAAATCATTACTGTACTTAAACGTTTAACATATACAGATACAAAGTAAATAATCTTTTAATAAACCGTAAGAAAACAAGTTTTAATTGGCAGTCCCCCAGACTGATGCCGTGGTCGAAATTGCTGCATCAGAAAGAGTCAATGTTAAAAGATTCATAGACTCTTATATACTAAGTTTCAGCTAAATCAAAAGTAAAGAGGGACTGTTGGCATCACCTTGGCGTACAACCAGAAAATGAATCCGGTTACGTGCACAGAATGCTAATGTGAAGTTTCATGAGCATCTGGCCTGTAACAATAAGCCCTGGCACCCCTGCAGGTGGGGGATCGGGAAAAGAATAATCCTGCTGTCTGTTACCCTCTGCACGTATCGTAGGAGCGATTAATATGGCCCCCCCCCCCCCCCCCCTGCATAATTAGGGATTTGCTTTGGCGTCCTCTATTTTGGAACACAAAAGCGACCAAAATAAATCTGCTGCGCCCATTGAAATATTTGGGATTTTTATCTTTCTTTCTACTGTATTTCTAACTACCTTTTATTTTCTAGCGCCTTGCTTGGCAACACCTCACTTTTGGCTTAAATGTTGGTCGCCCAGGTGAGGAAGGCAATGGGTTCTGTCCCAAGCCGGGACATACCAAAGTCCTTAAAAATGGTAGTTGTTATTCCCTGCTTAACGTTCAGCTTTCAGGGGAATTGCAACAACTGGTTCACCTGTTGCCAGTATAGTGTGACCTGGCAGAATGCTGTACTGGGTGCGTATGGCATGGTATTTCAGTGAGATAGCACTATGAAGTCGGCATCAGATACACGATATCGCAAGGAGGCAAGTGAACCAACATACACTGTCTCATGCGCACACGCAAGTTCGCATACACTACACACATGGAGGCACGTACTTGAATGACCTTAGCTGTTAATATGTTAATAGGATGTTAAAAATAAAACCAAATCAAACCTCTTATGCAGCTGCATGGGGCGAAAGAGCAGCCATCTGGAGTTTGTTGCTGAATTAAGTGATGATATTGTAACGTATTAATTGTTTTACTGTCACATGTATAACTTTAAGTGTAATTAGTCACCTATATTTGTTAATGAGTTTAATTTACATTCATTTATTATGTGATATTCATAAACTGTCGTCTGCTACAGCACTGCACTCTCACTCTGGTGACTGGTTTACCTGTGTCATGCTTGACTGCCTACCCGGGATCAAGCATGTGCATCAGGGGTCAGGTACCGAGTGTGGACAGGCGGACCTGTAGCATACCTCAGTTGGTGGCTAGATAGTATAGAGAGAGGGCTGAACTGAAAGTACTAGAAGTCAGACCTAATCATGTCGCAGGCCCAATTAGGGGTGAGTTTACCAACAGCCTGGGTGGAAGTTCATCCAAGAACTTGGTAACATCCAACCGGGGTGAAAATCCCCTGGTGAAAGTAAGGTAAACTTCACCTCATTACATCAATGACAATTATTGTACCAGTAATTATTGCGGTAAATTGTACCAATAAACCTTGTATTATTTTGTACCTCTGCGTTGTGTGGTGTTTTCTGTAGGGCCCATCGTGGTGACACCCTGGTTGCAAAAAGTCATGACAATATGATCAATAGATGATCTGTCTAGCCAATAGGCGCGCGTATTTATTGCAGCAACAGCTGACCATGATATGCTTGTAAATAACGTAGTTGGAATTTATGATAGCTGAAAATCATGATAAAAAGGTATCGGTGCATTGATGTTTTTAAATCACTTCTAGTTTTAATTGTAACGG